CGAGGGACCTTTACGTTTCTTCCTTGCTGTAAACCAACACCTAAAACAATGCCTGTTTATAAGGGGTACTCGGTTTTGTTTTTTGTTTTTTTCCTTTTTGAATGAATGTATGCTAACTATACTAAGGACAGAATACCCAGACCAATGAGGGATACACAAATGACTCAAAGAGACCCTGCTCTCAAGGATCTTGGGGTCTACTGGGAGAGAAAACAGATAACATGCTATTAGGTCTGGAGAAGCAAGAGCTGACGTCCATCTACAGGAAATCAAGGCTGGCCCTGAGTAGGAGACTGTATTTAAGCTGAAAGCTGAAAGATAGGTATTTTGGTATTTTCTGTTCAATGTTCTCTTTGTCCTCCTTTGTTAGACGAACTTGACATCTGACTGCTTAACTAACCCCTCTTTCAAAGCATGTTGGCACTGCCCTTGGCTTTGAATGTTCCTATTGTTCTGGGAGTTTGAACTGGATTCATTGGGTCATTTGCAGGTAAGTGCACCCATGGGCAAAAATGCACATTAATGCATGAAATGTACTAATACATATTTCAGACAATAAATTAGTTTGTTTAACTAAAATAAAATCTTCCATGTTACTGCTTTTGTAATTGAGCATATTTTAACATTAGCATACAAATTAGCCCATAGACCTAGGCAAATAAAAATGCTAATAAAATGTAAAGATACAATAGAACATTAATACTGAATTCGGTTAGGCTATTAATGCTAGACTACATCACATGTATCATTTCCATAATACAGTAAATATGGACATTTTCTAAGCCAGTGAAAGATTTTGTGGATGAGAATTTTTAATATTCAAGATAATTTTATTATCTGTGGGAAGAAAGAAAGGATGAATGTTCTTCCATTCTGCATAGAAAGCAAATATTTGTTTTATCTGTGTACTCCACTTCTCCTTCACCCTCTGCCACCATGATACTTGAGAATGTCTTCATTTAAATAATGATTTGACTTAGGATTATTAGAGATTCAAGTTTTCATGAAAGAAACTAGTGAACGTGCAAAAATAAGTGAAAGTGAACACCTTTCCCTACACTTGCCTTGCTTTGGCACAAAGCCAGGCACAAGTCCATGGGCACTGTCCACGTGGACGCCTATGGGAGATGGCCCTGGAGCTAAAGGCACATGAACCACACCACCGTACGAGGCACCTTGGACTGTACAAAGGAGAAAGCAAGCATGGGTCATTTGAGAAAAAAATTGGGAATTTACACCTGTCATCCCGAAATTTTCTAAGCAGAAGGGTCTATTTACTTCTCATTAGTAACACTCTGCACGATGTTCTCCAACAAACCAAATTCCCCACCTTGTCAGAAAAAAAATCTACCTTTGAAGCAAATCAGTATAGTCTATTTGTGGAGGACATTATGGATTGTTTACCTAAAAGCCAATCTTCCCCTCTTCATATTTGCTGAAAGATGCTGCCTCCACCACTAAATTTTGTTCACATAATGTGCAGCCATGCAGTTTATAAGATGCTGCCTGTCCTTTTGAGCACCAGAGGGTGAAACTGGTTAAGGGTTGTTTCATTATTCTTTGCACGTTTGGTTTAGGAAAGGGCATTTGGACAACGTCACCCAGTGAGCTGAAGGGAAAGCCTTCCTGGGAGCCTTTGGGGAGAGGCTTCCTTGGTCTCCAAAAGTAAGGAAATGGGGAAAGGAGAAACTCTTTCCTTTCATTCTTTCGGCATTGTGATACTTGGGTGCCATCTTGGGACCTAACTCATGTGGTAGGCATCTTGAAACATATCTGTTTATCTTCCGGATGGTTAGAAGTAGCTCAAAGAAACCTTTGGAGATCATCAAAGTCAACTGTATCATTTATTTTTGTTAAACCAGTTTCCATGTTACTTGGCTTATTAATATTCCCCAGTGGAAATCATAACTATTAGGCCAACTGTTAGATTTTTGGAAACAGTAATAAACATAGATATACTTTGATTATTTAGTTAGGTGCCATTTCATAGATAGACACTTGTAATGTGACTCTTAATTGTGCAGTAATTTCCAGACTAGGATCCTACCAGAATGAGTTCATTGGAGCAGGCAGTTTATTTCTAGAATATTTAGAAGGCAGAGGCTAGGCTTACTAAGATGTGTGATCTTCATACGCAGAGAATTCCAGAGGTGATGAACAATGCTTTTAGCCTTGTGAAAAATGTAACTATTTACCACAAAGTAATTTGTTGAATGTTTGCTTTTATGCTAGACCATATGTTAAGTGTTTCCTTGACTGAAATAGCTCCATTCAGGTCTCAGAACCACTCAGGTGAGCACTGTTATTATACTCCTTTCATGGATGAGGAAAGGGAGTTTAGGTAAGGTTAAGTAGTTAAATAGTTTACTTGAGATCACGGAGCTAGGAAGTAGAAGAACTAGGATTTGTGGTCTGACTCCGGACGTCAAGCTCCTAAACACTGCAGTTTTCTGCCCAAGAGTGAACATAATTTATTACTGAGGGATGTGGCAGCCACTGTTGGGTGCCTACTTGATACCTATTCTTTCTTGTCTCAAACAACCCCTATTTGTTTGGGGTGACTCCTCAATGAACTGTGGCAATCCCATTTGCTTTTTGCCATGGATCTACAGTAGCCATGTGACCATTTTCTGCCCAATAAGAGGGTTGGGATGGGTGGGCCTTCTGGGAAGTCTCCTTCATAAAAATGGGAACAGCTCTGCTTTTCCTTCCCTTCTTACTCATACAATCACCTCTGAGGATGTGCTGTCTGGAGCTGTGGCAGCCACATTGGAATCAAGAGATGACAAGCCTGGAGATAGAAGCCGACAAGCATACGATGGTAGAGAGCAGGCACAAGAAGTCCTTCACAACACGATTGTGCTGCTCAAAGAATGCGGAGACCATTTAACCTCTGAACCGTGTGTTAAAGATATAATAAATGACCTCCTGCTTTAAGCTGTTAGATACTTTGTTTCTGGCCAATAGTAGCCTAATGGATACAGTCTGGGCAGGAAAAGATGTTTTCTTGGAGGTGAGGTGAAAGTAGATGATATGGGGATTATCAAGATTTCATCCAGGAATCTGTTAGTGTAGGTAATCATTCAGAAAAAAATACTCCAGCTTTGTCTCAGATCTAGATAAATTTGAGCAATCCACATGTCTGCTGGATATTTCCCTCTCTTCTTTCTAGATGCACGGTTTCCTCTGGGATGAACAGCATCAAAGGCCTTTCTTTGCCCTCAGGCTTCTGGTTGGATTTGGCCACGGGGATGTACCAGCAGGAGACTGGAAGAAGGTGGTGAGTGAGCTATAAATCCCCCAGCTTCCTCCTTGGGTTATCACCTAGGCTGACCGCATCCCTTGACTGAAGGTCACAGGCTCCTGTCTGGGTGCCCTTCTTGTGCTGAATTTTGGTTCCTTTCCCCTTGTTCTGCAGACCTAGCAGCTTCTAGCCCCCAGGGTTCCACCTTCCCTTGTGGTTTCCCACACCCAGCCCACATCCTTGTCAAGTACCATTTGTTTCCGGCTAGGCTCTGACTGATACAATGGTGTGAACAAAATCACTGCAGTTGTTGAAACTTCGTCTAGTCTATCTGATACATGATGAGATTGTGGAGTTATTCAGAGTGTAAATAAGGGCTTTCCTCAGCCACTAAAGGGAGACAGGAGACTACATAGTGAGAAGTCATACTGAAAAAGGAAAAGTATCCTAGCTCAGAAAACTTTCTACTTTGAGGCCAAGAAATCAGAGTGGGCTACCTGGAAGAGATATTTGGGCTGAGGATGGTTAGGATTTTTAAAAGGAAAAACTACTGGGGAGAGTGTAAGCCAAAGTGAGGGAAGAGAAAAAGCTCAAAATCTTGTAAAATTAGTGCTGGAGAGGACTTAAGATGTTATTTAGTTAATGTTAGTTCTCCCTCCACCTTCTTTACTGATGAATAAGCTTGGAGCGGAGACCTGGCCACGGTCAGACAGCAAGTTAGTAAATAGCGTGCCAGTACTCCAGTGCAAGTCTGTTTTAATCTCCCCTTCTACTTCTACATCACTCTACCTCCTCTCGAGCAACCTCTCCTATTAGCCCATGACCCCCTTGAGAGCAGGGCCCGTTTTCTTCATCCTTGAACCCCAGTACCTAGCACAGTTTCTGACGTAAAGTCCTCCTCAACATCACCAGCTACAAACAGTAGCTGTGAGGCACCATGCAGATGTTTCATATGCACCTCCTGTAATCTTCACGATAATTTGGAGTGGTATAATAATCTCCACTTTTCAGCCCAAGATGCAGCTGCTAAGAGAGGTGGTCTAATTTGCCCGATGTCACACAGCAGGCAAATGTGTCCAGGACTCTTACCTTCCATCATGGGTGTCCACTAACATGTTGAATGAGTGAATGAGAATGAACGAACAAGAAACATCCGCTGAATGCAAGTGATCGGTTGTGATAGACCACCCTGAAGACCCCGCCACCTTGGGCAGCGGACTCTGCTCTCCCGTCTCTCCTGCAAAGTACACCCTCTCTTGGAAGCGCTCCCGGGCTCCACCCCCAAGTCCGCCCCTCTCTCCAGCCACGCCTCCACCTCGGAGTGCTTTCCGCTCTTCCCAACCGAGTTTTCGCTTGGCACCGGCCGCCGCACGGAAGAGGCCTCTCTCGGCCCTGCGAAGGGTAGCCGGTTCCATTCCCCTGCCCCTCCCTTCGGCCTCCCTCACTCTTCAAACTTCTTTTTTCCACCCTCTTTAAACTTCACTCATCCTAGTGCCCGCCTCCTCCACTCCCACCCACCAATCGGTGGTCCTCGCTCTCGCCAAGGGTCCGCCCCCTGCCCGCTGGGGGCCAATCCCCGGTGAGGGAGTCGAGTGCCGGGGCGCGTTCCCAAGCGCCCGGCCTGTGACGGCAGCGCGCCGGGCGCCGCGCGGCAGAAGGGGGCGGGGCTGTGCATGAGGGCTGGGCGAGGGCGGGGGGAAGGGAAGAGGGAGGCGGAGGAGGTTGCGGCGGGTTTGAAAGCGGCAGTTTCCTGGCAGCTGGGGCAGGCGTTGGTCTCCGCTCTTCGGCTCCGCAGCGGCCGCAATCGATCCTGCGACGGGTCTACGCGCGCTTCTGCGCGCCCCCGACGGATTTTTCCCGTTCCGGCTCTTCCCCCTTCACCTCCCCGCCCCCCTGCTTCTGCCTTTCCCGCCGCTCCGCCGCGGAGCCCGGGGGCCAGCCGGCGGCCGTGACCCCGCCCGAAACCCCTCTGGAGCCGCCCGGGGACAGTTCCCCTCTCCTTTCTTCAGCCTCGCCCGGGTGGCCCGAGCGCAGCCCGGCAGCGCCGGGGAGCGCAGCCGGGAGGGGCGTCCGAGGGGCGTCTCGGGGCTGCGAGCAGCCGGGCCCCCGCGGGCTGCAGTCGGGAGTGGGGGGGGGGGGCGCCGGAGCGGCGAGGCCCCCTCGCCGGGCTGCACGGGCCGCCGGGCCCCCAGGCTGAGAGGGGGCCGGAGCGGCGCCCCCGCCGCCCGCGCGGGGTCTCCCCCATGGTGCAGCGGGGGTCGGGATGTCGAAGACGCTGAAGAAGAAGAAGCACTGGCTCAGCAAGGTGCAGGAGTGCGCGGTGTCCTGGGCCGGGCCCCCGGGCGACTTGGGCGCTGAGATCCGGGGCGGCGCGGAGCGCGGCGAGTTCCCCTACCTGGGGCGGCTCCGGGAAGAGCCCGGCGGGGGCACCTGCTGCGTCGTCTCGGGCAAGGCGCCCAGCCCAGGGGATGTGCTGCTGGAGGTGAACGGGACGCCTGTCAGCGGGCTCACCAACCGGGACACCCTGGCTGTCATCCGCCACTTCCGAGAGCCCATCCGTCTCAAGACTGTGAAGCCGGGTAAGCCGGCTCTGTCTTTCTTGCGGCGGGGGTTTTCGGGGGGGCAGTCGGGGTGGGCGTCTTGGGGGCGCGGCCACCAACCACCGCTTATCGCTCTGGAGAATCTTAAACCTTCTAGGTGGTGCCGGACTAGCTGGCGAGGGGGAGGGGCGGCCATGGTGATTCCCATTTTGCCGACGGGAAAACTGAGCTCTGGCTTGGCCAGGCTCCTCTGCAAGCGGTCATAGAATTGCAACCAGAAGCAGTTTGGGTTTCTTAGATCTGTAGCCCCGTCTCCTACCGAGAGTTTTTGGCTAGAGAGAAACCAGCCTTTCCAGCTCTCCTTTGTGAAGCAGGTCCTCGTGATTGTAGCATATTCTTTGCAACAGTCTTACGCATATTCTAACAGAGAAAGAGGTTTTCTACTACTGAGGCCCTTGGTGCCAAGGTTACCGCCTAGTGTACCTCGGAGGGCTTGGCTGCTTCGGTGTTTCTTCTGCACTAGCAGCACCTTGGAGCTGACAGCCTAACTCACTCAGGCCAGGTGGTTTCAGGTGTCTGGGTATCGAGGCTGTAGGGTGTGTGGCCGACTAGTGCGTTCTTGCGGGGAGCTGTTGAATAGTCTGGGTTTCTAGAGAAGACCTAGGTGCCTCATCTCAGTCTACGCTTTTCCAAATCTTTGATTTTACACCAATTTTGTTGAAGTGGGGGTGGGGGGTGTAAAATGGGCCCCTGTTAACGTGGCGTCTTTCATGCTAGTAAGAGCTACTGCCAAGCACGTTAACGTTTATGTTTCAAAGCATTGATCAGACTGCGTACGGTGAAATCTGATAGTATGCAATAGTCCTGCTGTATTTGTTATTCACGGCATTGTTGGTCGTTCCAGCATTGCTTAGAATGTGGTTCTGTTGTCTGAGATGCTTTCGGGAGAGAGAATTATGATCACGACATTATTAGAAATCAAACAAGTTTTGCTGAGTGTGCTCCACTGAATATATAGTGCATCAAAATATAATGGGCTGCTTAATTGTGACTTGGGCTAGAGCAATCAGTTGTTCTCTTCACTGCAAAATGCTGGAAAATTCGGGAGAAAAATTTAGCATGTTCTCTCCCTCCCATTGTTTTTTCTCTCTCAGCAGCTCACTTTGGAAATCTCTCTTTCATAGTCGTTGGGCTTAATGGGAACTGATGGTTTGTGGTGCAGTATACATATGTGAGTATTGTGGGTGTACATATGAACACACACACCCCCTCACATGTCCCTGTAATCTTAAATTAAGATTTTATTCGTGTGCTCTATTTCATCGTATTCATTTAAAGCTTATGGTTTATGTAAGGTTTTCTTTATTGTTAATTTGAAAAACTTTGGCAGACTTTAAAAATCTTTTTCTGTATAGTTTTACAAATTCAGAAATTCTTAATTCAAACTTTGAGAACCATATGGGAAAGAGGGAGGAAAGGTTTTGGGGGGCTGTGATGGCTGTAATTTAGGGAGTCAGGCACTGTCTGTAATATGCAAAATACTATATAATACAGCACTTACTAATCTAGATGTCATTTAGTTCAAATCCCATGAGTCAGGGAATAATGAGAACATCTGCATCATTGCCTTGTGTGTTGTTTTGATTAGTTGGGGGCACAAATGAGAGTATAACTGTTATTTTCAAAAACAGTTTTTAAGATTTAATAGGAGGAAGTTGATGTATCCTCAAATTACTGTGATTCTTTTATAGACTGGGAGTATTAGTTTGGTCTGCATGCTGTATATTTTCTCAGTGTTTATTTGAGAAAATAATTCCGGGTTTAGAGTGGATTCAGTAACATAGATTAGCTGTGTTGAACGAACATCATATGCTCCAGAAAGTAGTTGACATTTTTATGGTACTAAAATTTTGTCCTCTTGACAACCTCAGGCACTGTCCTACTTCAAATGTTTAGCCAGAAAAAAGGGGAATAACTTATATTAATGGGTTTAGCATATTTTCTGATCATTAATAATAAAAATTCGGAATACTACACTTATTTTTTTAAAGATAAGCTCTTCTTCAGTAATTTCAAAAGGGTACCTCTATGTGTCATCTGAGTTGTTATTCTTGTTTCTAAGCAAGTTGTAATTTAAAAATGTTAATTTCTCCAAGGATAGTATCCTTAGTTTTTTAATGGGCTCATGTTAAGCATTAGATTGGATGGTTTTCTGGAATGGCTTTGCTTAAACATTTGTTATAAAATAGCAAAATTTCTGCAGGTTAATTACAAGACTTCAAATATTAGAAACTAAGGAAGCAGAAGAGGTTATTCCTAGAACTTCGGGTGTGGTTAAAAACAATAAGTATCATCTCCAAAGGAGACAAAAATTTTCTTTTAGGATTAAATTTGAAAAGTATGAAGATAGGAAGGAAATTTAAAAAGGAACTTGCTCTGCACGTTTTTTTTTTTAATTTTATTTAAACTCTGTGAGAAATGGATTTTCCAACTTAGTAAGGAATTGTAAAGTGTACTTAATACTGTCGTTTGTCTTATAGAACTATATTCCTGAAACATATCATTTAGAAACTAACATAGTACAATAATGAACTTAACCATTTCTGTGAGATGTAATATTAGTGGGGAATGATCTCACATTCGTTGTCTTCTGACAAAGTCCATGGCAAAAGGATGTGTATGGATCCTTCCTAGTTTGTTCGTTTGTTTTGTCTGGTACCTGCTAAGGGAGCCCAGCCAAAATCAGCACCAACACCCAGATGATTTAAAGACTGTTCTTTCTAGCAGAGACCATCTTTAGCTTTGATTTGGGGCTTACTTTTTTTTTCTTACTTGCAAATTCCATTAAAGATTATAATAAATTCTTTAAAATATGCTTCCTAATCCTAGGCGTTGCTTGAAAGAATTAGGGAATTTCTTATTGGAATCTTATTCGTATCTAGTATTTGCATAGTATTTAGCAGTGAGTACATCTCTGTTTCGAAGACAGCCTTTAGTTTCATCTATTCTTGGCCAGCTGGTCACCTGTTTCTTAATTACAGCCCTGTCTTTTTATCATCCCCCCCCCCCCCCCCGCCAAAGAGAGAAGTTTTCACTTGAATTTGAACTTTGTAGTTTCACAGTAGTAAAGGAAGTTGAACTTTGGACCTCTGATGAAATTGTTTCATGATCTAGTCTTGTGACCAGGATTAGTTTCTTTGATTTTATTTCAGAGCATATTTTTAAGCAACTTCTATTTTGGTTAAGGATAGAAGTAGTTAATTTTGTTCTCAGTTTCTCCAGACTATGAATGCACAGAGTTTCATGGAATACTCACTTCTTCATATACTTTAAAACACCTATTTTAGTGGTTACAGATTATATGGCTTTTATTTCAGAGGTTAAGTATTGATAAGTGCGTGAAATCATTTTCTACTGCATTATTCACACTTTGTTTTCAGCTACCTTACATCTGTTACTGTATCTAAAGAAAATCCTGAGGATCAATGTTACTGTTTAAAGAAACACTAATTTGAAAGAGACCTTGTTAATTGTAGGTAAAAGTCTTTGCCCCCGACTCTGAGGCATCTGATTTACAGGGGAATTTTTGTTAAAATGAGCACATTCCTGGAAATACATTCCCCATTGGCGAGGACACATTACTAGAAGCTTTTAAGGAAGGATGTTTATGTTATGCCAATCATGAATAACCCTACCTCCCTTTCTTTTCACTTTTGGATCTGTGTGGGGGTTTTTTTGTTTTTGTTTTTGTGTTTGTTTTTGTTTGGTTTAGAGGGGATTTGGGGACTTGTGAGTGTTTTGTTTAGGTGGTTTTCCTACGAAGAAGGGGAGGCTGAGAGAAGTTAAATTGCTAGCCTCCTTGGTTTCCAATACAAAAAAATTTCTTTTTTTTTTTTAACAGTAGAAATTAGAGATCAGATGAGGCAGCTTCTCGGTTAGGGAAAATAGCGTTAAATTTTGAAGAACCTTAAGTTGGAAACTTACTTGTTTTCTCAAATTTTAGTAGCTTTTTTTTGGGGCCTAAACTTGGTCACAAGTCATTGAAGTAACTTCAGGTTCTGGACTCTTCATCGACACCTTCCATACAGCTTTTGCTGTAGACACAGAAGAAACACTTAATATTCTGCTCTTTTCAATTTTCATACCATTTTTATTTCATTCAGCTTACTGCTGAAACTGATTTTTGTAGAACATAACTGCGTTCCTGGGGAATAGAAATTGTTTTTCCTCTGAGATTCTGGGATGTATTTTATAAAACCTCTTACAAGAGACAAATTTCAGTGTGTGCGTGTTTCCTGGTCTCTAATTTATGTAAGTTGATGGTAAAACAAATCTACATTTGTTCTAGTATCTGACTTACAAAGTTAGTGCATACCCTTCTCAGGTGAATAGTTTCGTATAACATCTTTACTATATAACCCCTGAGTGCTTTGTAAATTTTGCGACCACTAAGGGGGTTGGGGAGTATGTTGTAAGAGAATTTCATTTTATGAGCCACTTTGGTATTTGGTACCAACTTCAAACTCTGCCGATTTCTAAGTCAATTTTTGGTCGTTTGTAATTTGATAAAGGCTAAGTGTTTTGGTATGGAAGACTAGAATGGTGACTCTTTTTTTAAATTTATTTTTTGTTTTATTTATTTTTTTGAGAGAGAGCACAAGCAGGGGAGGGTCAGAGAGAGATGGAGACACGGAATCCGGAATCCGAGGCAGGCTCCAGGCTCCCAGCTGTCAGCTTAGAGCCCGACGCGGGGCTCGAACCCATGAACCTCAAGATCATGACCTGAGCCGAAGTTGGACGCTTAACCGACTGAGCCACCCAGGTGCCCCTAGAATGGTGACTCCTTTAATTAATTAGTTTTGTTTCTCTTCTGAACTTTTGAGCAATTTCCTTGTAATCCTACATTTTGGCATAGAGAAAAAAAATGCCCGTTATTTCCAACTGCTCTGAAGGGTAAAATTTTCAGTGGCTCAGCAGCTAGTGTTGTGAGAGATGTATTTGTGGGGAAGAGTTGCTCATTTCCTTGAACGAATATTATT